AAAAAATGTCCATTTGAATAGGGAAAATTTTGAATTTCTTTTATTAGGTCGGGCTTCGGGCTCGGGCTCGGGCTTCGGGTTTTTTATCAGGGCCGGGCTCGGGCCCAAGTTATAGGCCCGTTGGTCGGGCCGGGCTCGGGCTCGGGCCTAACAGTTTTTTGTTAATAAAGAGTCAAAGCCCGGCCCGAACCCGGCCCGGCCCATGAACAGGTCTAATTACCATGTAAAGAGATAGATAAAGCTATCAACTAAACCAGGTTTGGTCCAATCCAATCCAACTTGTGTCTATTTATAAATGGACGGGATCCAATCCAATCCAATCCAAACCTAATACAAACCAAACCCAAATCAATTAATCCAATCCAAACACTCCCAAATGGTAAGTACGAAACTGCTGAGTTGTGTAGAAACAAATGAGAACAACCAAGTGATCAAAGAAATGCAGACCGAATCGAACCAGAAACAGGTGGCGGAAGAGGAAGACCCTTGCAGAACACAGGCAAGAAGAATAACTGCACACTTTTCATGATAATCCTCAAAGCTGGATCGATAAGTTTCAATAGCCACCCTCTTCTCCCCATGTCTATGGGGTTCGGGATAGCGCTCACCAGCCTATCGTAAGGCATCAATACGACTCTCTGAAATGGTTTATTCTGGAATTTCCCACCTGCTCCTCCTTCGTACCCTCTTACCGCCGTCGCCATGAAAGCTCAATTCCAAGCTCAACTCAAGACACAGAAACGGAAACAACACCCACCTATAATAGGGTTTTTACTTTTTCATTTCCCAAAAGAAGAGAGAGATCCATGATCACTTACCTGGCCGGAGTAGTTCAGGTTGGATCTTCATAGCTCAGCCGCTGAACTGTTGAAGGGTTTGAAGGAGGGAGTGACGAGAGATGAGAAAGAGGGTTGGAAACTTGGAATCAGGGGTTTGAGGGGTTTCTTTGTCATTTTCATTTTTCTTGTTTTAATCAACTGGAATGGGAATCCAATTACAAGGGGGTGGGCCAGGAATGGCCATTCCCTCAAATGGGGAATGCCATTCAGCTCGGAGTGGGAATCTGATTCCGATTACACTCAACCAAACGGTTGGTCTGATTCTGGGTCTATTCCTGAGAACCAAACATACCCTAATTTTCGGTGAAAGTGAAACACTTCTACCTAATCATTTGTACAAAACTACAAATAAAAGTGTAAGAAATAAAACGGGTTTGATACAGAAACATCACCAAGATAGCAATAGAAGAATGATATATTCAACATGATATTATTTACAAAACAGACTTTCATTAACTGGTAGAATAGGAGCATTGTCCCTTCGTTTTTTTTTTCATGATTATCTTCATAATCACCATCTCTATCTTCTTATATGTAATCAGAACAGGGGTTCCACCCTTAATTTTTTTTACCATTGTTTTCTTTGGAACTAATAGACTTGCACATGCTCAAATTACTGCTATAGTTTGTCTAGGCAAGAAGGTGACAAAGCGCTCCTCTCTCACCTAGTTTCACCTTGGGGGCTTGACAACTATGACAGTGACTTGAATGACATGATCTTCTGCAACACAAATAAACTCTATTCAGTCGTGGATGACAAATTATAACCTCTGAGGACTGTTAAATTGAAATTAATTCCTGAACCCTGTTAGTTAGCTAATTAACAAGTAAAACTTCAGCAAGAGAAGGCTCCTAATTTAAGAGCAGAGTTTCATTTTCTCAATTCTGCAAGAAAAGGTTCTCCAGGGAATGTTGAATGGGTCTTCAAAGATACCAGTTCAATTATCTCTAAAATTTTTTCTACCAGAAAGCAGAGGAGTGACACTTGTTTTGTCAGTAGGAGGGAATGACATGGTCTTACACAGGAAACATGCCTCGTTTTAGAACTCATTCTTGCACATTGTTCCTGTATGCAAGTACTCAAAAAACCAAAAGTCACCATGTTTTGATTCTTTTATGGAATAAATCAATTTTTTTAGCACCAATATAATTTTTCATTTGATACAGTCATGTGGATAATACAAGCTTATCCTTTTGATGGATTTAGGGGAACAGTAAATTGGACCTAAGACAATGATATAAAGGAATAAAAAATAAGCCAATGTCATTGCTGCTAAGCTAACCATTTACAACATTAGTGACAAGCCCTGAAACTCATCTAGGGTGCCTTCTTTAAAAGTTTAAATAAACAGGGGTGAAGGGTTTGGGGGGGGGGGGAGAATCAAAATTTCTTCTGCCTGCTCTCTAGCAGGAAAGGGTGTAGTCCCAATACATGCTCCGGCATAAAATCATGCCTTGTCAGTATGCCTACTACTGGTGATCTCTGCAATAAAAAAGTAATCAGTCAAAAAACAGTCAGCAAACCCACTGCTAACACAAAGATCAAGCTGATATAGATAAGCCTAACTATGAGACATAGGAGAGGCTGTCACCCGCACAGTCATTACAGTAAAGTTTGCATCACATACACCATAATGGCCTAACAGTCCCTGATTATATCTTTAGGTAGCTATGAGCAAGAACAAGCTAAATAAATGAGACAGGATTTCTTACAGTAGAGGTCTTTGGTACCACCAACAGGTGTCTCAGACCAACTTTGCGAAAAAGAATGAGAGCCTTTGCTAGTGACATTGTCTCCAAAACAGTATATGGTGAAGCATTTGTAAAGGGATGCAAATCTATAAACATATCCATTTCTTCCTCAGTCACTTCTATATTGTCTATAGTTTCATATTTTGTTGAACCCCGTTTAGCAAAATCATTGGCAGAAAACTGCTTCGTGACATCACTCCTTGTGAGAATTGGAGTGGATAAGAATGCTTTTTTCTTTAGAAGCACAATAAGGTGGTCTCGAAGGACTAGACCGGACAAAACAGGGTCGTATGAAACAGGTGGCTCATCAATCACTGGGAATCCATGGTGTCCTGTAGTTTTGAGTACATGCACTATATTCCGCACCTTTTCTATGCCATTAAAGCATTGAAGTGGCCCTGTGACAACATCACCAACTGTCAACTGTCTCATGTATGGCTCTGCATGAGCTTCTAGATAAGGAAAACCCTTCAATTTCATAATAATGTCATATATATTTTGGTTAAAGGTATCTGCGACAGTCTTGGATACAAGAAGGACCAGCATTATCATGGGCAACAACAACAGATTATTGGTCAGCTCCAAGAGAATAACACATAACGACACAGTCATCCTCATAGATCCACCCAGAAGAGAAGCAGCTCCTAACACAGCGAAGAGACCATTGTTGAGATTCGAGTGAGAACCCATAAGCATTCCAACAAGGCGTCCATAGCTTGCCCCTGTCAAAATAGCAGGCATAAAGAGACCTGATGGAGCTGCAACCCCATAACTGAAGATACCAAGAAAATAGCTAGCGACAAAGAAGACAAGTATTGATATGTAGTGGAACTCAGTATCAGTGCCCTTGCTGAAGAGATTTCTGATTGCATCATCATTTGTGTTGAAGAAAAGACTGGCAAGATCATTGTAGTGGCCAGGAGGACATTGAAACTTCTTATAGTTACCAGACCTCCCTATTGTTGGGCATGCTTCGGTTGCATCAGCTGGACAAGGTCGACAAGGTGCAAGCCATGGTAAGCCAAATAAACAACATGATGTCAATATGGAGATTGAGCAAGCAAGAAGTATCCTGTAAGCATAGCCTTTCCTGAAATGATGGGAAAGTAACAAGGAGAATGAGTTAAATATTCCATGTTGTATCTCAAAAATCAATTGGTTTAAGAAGAAAATATTGGTTACCGATTGATGAAGCTATATGTTCGGAGAACCTTCTCCAAAATAAAATTATATAAACTTCCCAATATACCTCCAATAACTCCAAGAACAAGGACAGGTGGTACATCAACAAGGTGATATATAACATTTGTTGATGTCACATCAAACATGATCAGCCCACCTTTTCCAAATAAACCACACTTTCCACTCTTGCAAAGGTCAGTCATAGCCCGAAGCACAATAGCAACCACTACAGTTGTGAAGAATGATCTCCACAGAAGGGCGCTTGTCCACCTGTGGAATAGTTTCGTAATGTTAAAATTTGTGAATAATGCCAATGCAATGTCATGATATTCTTACAAAAACATGGTGGTGGGGTACACAGTTAGCTGTGGTAGCTGGAGCAAACAGTTTGTACAACAATTACTTTAATAAGGGAAATAAATTGAACAAATGCAAGGGTTTGCATGTGCGTTTGGAACAAGTTAAATGGCAAGATATTACTACAAGGCATCTCGGTGACAGAAACTCCCCGACTAATTTAATGCCAGGAAGTAATAGATCGACTGCATTTACCCAAAATTTCTAAAATAACGTATGAAAACATGCAATAAGTCAGTCCATCATCAGATTATTAGGATCATCTGAAAGGTTAGGATATTTACTATTGGTTGATTGGATACTCTATCAACAATAACTGGCTATGGAGTAAAGATCCTATATTTCTATGTAATACTAGTATAGTAATACATTCTGATATTATTACAACAACATAATAACTTAACCAAAATATCAAGGACATGTAGGTTAATGGATTGGGATAGAATAGGCTCCTATTCAGAGACTTTTCTTAATTATGGCCTACCTAGTTTCCTTATCTAGATAGTTGAGGTAGAACAATCTACAATCAGCATTGTACTTGGGAATGTGTGGCTATATGTAGCATTTTTCTATACTCACAAAGAAGGAGAAAAAAAGAATGAAGCAAACAAGTGCAAATAAAAAACTTGTGAATACCATGATGCCATTTCTTCAAGAGCAAATAAAACACCTCCAACAGGTGCACGGAAAGCAGCAGCAATTCCAGCAGCTGATCCACAGGTTACAAGATCACATCTGTCTCTGTCATTGTTGAAGAAGCGTATCCATCTCCATGTTATACCATACTTCTTAGATCCACCCTGACCTAGCAGTGATGCAATGCAAGCACCAGTATGCACCAGGGGCCCTGCCTTGCCCACATGGAGAGATGATGATACTGCTGTTATGCTACCAACAATCTGTGGTTGCACTCAACATTGACACAAGGCCTTTAGCTTTTGTCATCAAAACAGTGATGCTTTTTTAATTAGATGAAAGAGATAAAAAGAACTTCACAGCACAGAGAAGTGTAAAAAATATAAGCAAAACTTAATATTCTACGAAGAGGTGTTCCATGGTTAAGAAAAATATACCAGTAAGAATCATGTGGAAAGATCTGGAGGAGGGAAAATCATGCCTTGTGATTATACTTCCAATTAAGAAATATGCTCATACATTTGTTCCAGAGCAGACCAGGTATAGTTCATGGCTTCATGTATTGCTCTTCTCTACTATAAGCTGATGTGGAAGGACATAGTTTGGTTTGGGATTTCATGTGTGGAATGATTTTCTTTGATCATTTGTTTATGTGGATTAATATATACCTTCCTCCAAAATGGATATCTTTTCTTGGCTTCGGTTCAAATTGTATTGCATCAACACAGGAAATTCCAAACCAAATTATTGCCTTCCACATCAGCTTATAGTAGACAAGAGCAAATGCATGAAGCCATGAACTAAATCTTGTCTTCTCTGGAACAAATGTCTGAGAATAATCCTTAATTGGAAGGATAATCACAACCTGGGCTGAGGTCATCCAAACACCACTTAACTCAGAGACAACAGAAGGCAGCACCTTGATAAATTTATTGGACTAGAATTGAAAGGAAGAGGAACATGTTGCAAGGCTCAGATCTTTTCCCCAGGATGAAAAACAAAGAACATAACTAGAATAACAAACAAGCCATTGGAAGCTAGTAAGTTAAATGGGTTGAAGTAGGTAAAATAAAGTAAAAAAAAAAAGAGCCTTTACATGTGTATTTTTGCCATACTTATGGAAAACTACATCCAATAACTCCCAAGATCCTATTTTAGTCCCTTGCTTAAATTACAAATTTTTATCAGTTTATAGAAAAAAAACTATTCCCTTTAAATTGAATTCTAAGTATGATCTTCTTTTCCATATATCAAAAGTCCTTTCATATACATAGAACTGAAGGCATGAATGCTGAAATTCTTTCTTTCATAAAGTAATTTGCAAGATATACATGCTTAACTCAATATTTATTCCAATTATTTGGTTCAGCAATCCAAGTATTTTATTTAACCAAATAATGTACCAGAAGAAACAAAAAGAACTCACAATCAGTTCCACAAATAAAATACAATCAAGCCCTAAATAAAAGTTATAAATTAAGACTGTTCCAACTTTAATAAAGAAAAGAAAATGTGAAGAAAAGGATAGGAGAAAGAAAGAGAAGAAGATAGGAAGAGAAAAAGAAGGGAAAGAGAAGAAAAGGAGAAGAGGAAGACTAGCAAGAAGAGAAATCTAATATTCTCTCCTTACTGTCGACCCAGGTTGTATTAGAATTCTACTAAAGCTGAAATGACTACAATACCCTTAGGTAAGTTACAACAGAGATAAGAGAGAAAAATAACATGAAAAAGACAATAATGCCCTTGTTAACTAATTCTAACACTCGCCCTCAAGCTGGAGCATATATATCATAAAGTTCCAGCTTGTTACAAATATAATCCATCCTTGAGTGACCCACACTCTTAGTAAAAATATCAGCTACTTGGTCTTTAGATTTAACATAGGGAGTAACAACCTCTCCACTTGTCACTTTCTCTCTCACAAAAATGGCAATCAACTTCAATGTGTTTAGTCCTTTCATGAAACACTAGATTAGAGGCAATATGTGTTGCAGCTTGGTTGTCACGAAACAATTTAATGGGTTGACAAATTGTGATATTCATCTCTTGAAGAAGATGCTTCAACCAAACTAGTTCATAGGTAGCATGGGCCATTGCCCTGGATTCAGCTTTAGCACTACTCCTAGCAACCACACTTTGCTTCTTGCTCTTTCAGGTAACTAGATTTCCGCACAAGAAGGTACAATAACATGTAGTAGATTTCCTGTCCATCGGAGACCCTACCTAATCTGCATCTGAGTACCCTACCAAAGACATATCTCCCCCTTTCTTATATAAAAGCCCTCGACCAAGAGCACCCTTTTAGATACTTCGGCACCCTCATAATACCATCCCAATGAGCAGTTGTTGGATTCTGCATGAATTGACTAAGGACTCCAACATAAAAGAGATGTCAGGCCTAGTGATGGTAAGATAGATCAACTTGCCTATTAGTCTCCGATACTTTATAGGGTCTTCTAATGGCTCCCCCTGATTATTAGTCATCTTCACATTGGGATCCAATAGGAGTTTCAATTGGCTTGGATCCCAACAACCTAGTTTCATCCAACATATCCAAAACATACTTTCGTTGGGACAAAGAGATTCCTCACTTTGATCGAGCTACCTCAATTCCAAGAAAGTACTTCAAGGTTCCTAGATATTTAGTTTGAAAGTGTTGTTGTCGGAACTATTTCAACTTGTAAAGAGACTGGGCTGAATGGGCCCTAGTATCTTTTCTTATAGTATGATTTATTTATTTGTTAGCTAATGGGCCTATCTTAATGGGCTTGTTATTTCTTTTGCTAGTTCTCTTTATGTTACTGCCTAGTTGGCCACCCACTTAAGGGTATACTTGTAATTATGTTAAGATTGAAGTTTAGTAAAAGGATTAGAGAAGGGAGGGAAGAGACATTCAAACTCTTCTCCTTCCTCCTCCTCTTTTCTCCATCTTTCTTCTCTTGTACTGTTGTTCTCTTCTTTTCTTCCTCTTTTTTTCTCTCTAATTTTCCCAAGTTTACATCAGATTTAGAGGATTGATTTACAACTTGGTATCAGAGCAGGTTTCTTTCTTCCTTCTTTTCTTCTTTCTCTTTTTCCATACACCCTTCGATTAAGAGAGTGTATGGAGAGATAAGTTCTCTATAGTTTAGAGGATCTTTGGCCTAGTTGGTAGAGGGTTTGGAGAGTGTAAATCTGGTCGGATATTGCTAAGAAGTGGTGTTGTACTGTTTCTGCCCAAAACCCTAGCCGATTAGAGATTTTCGAAGTTACAAGTAAAAGTGAAGCTTTGGGTGTGGCACTCTATGCTTGGGAGGTGTCTTTTGACTTCTAAAAGAGGGCGGTTCAGGTTTGGAAGAGATTGGGAAGCTCTGGTAGGAGCGGCTGCCTCTTCTCTCTTTCTCCCCAACAGTCGGATGCAGTGAAACCCTAGTTTTCAAGCATCTAGGTACTGGTTTGACTTCAAGTAAGTTTATAARGAYCAAATTTYTGGTTTTYTKAWTTTYGTTTGATTAATGGAGCAATACGGAAGTGAGTTCAAGCTAGTGCCAGTTTTCGGGCTTGGCTCGATAGATTCCGTTTTGACTGGTATGACCACAATCAAGCTAGATGGGACAAATTATCTTGCTTGGGCACAATCTATAAGGATTTATGTCTGTAGTAGAGGAAAATTAGGGTACCTCACAGGCAGTAATGTGAAAACCCAAAGAGACATACCCTGAATATGAGAAATGGATGCAGGAGAACTATACTGTCATAGGATGGTTAGTCAACTCTATGCAACATCATATAAGTCAACACTATCTCTGGATGTCCTCTGCCAAGGATATCTGGGACAGTGTTACTGAAACTTATTCATAGAAGTTGAATGTGGCTAGAGTCTACAAGCTGAAAAGTGATGTGAAGAACCTAAGACAGGGGGAGAAGAGTGTGGCAATCTACTATTCTATACTGAAATCCTTATGGCAGGAAATTAATGTTATGGAGACAGTTGCATGGGAGACTAAGAATGATCCAGAAATGTTTAGGAAGTTGGTGGAAAGAAACAAGGTGTTTGAATTTTTTACTGGACTCAACCCTGAGTTTGACATCATTAGGCAGAATATTCTGGCCAAAGATGATGTTACTCTTGCCCAGGCCTATTATATGGTTAGCAGTGAGGAGAGTAGGCGGCAGTTTCAGCTATAGAGTCCACCTATGGAACACTTTGCACATGCGGGAATAAAGTTGAAGGGTCCAACTGAGAAGAAGGAGCAGGTATGTGAATATTGCAAGAAATCGAGGCATACAAAGGACACTTGCTAGAAGCTTCATCCTGATCTTCTTCCTGACCGGTTTAAGAATAACAACCATTTTAAGAAGGGAAATCAGACAGGAAAGCTGAAGACAGCTAATGTTGCCACAGTACCGGAAGGAGGAAGTAAGGAGAGTGGAGAGAAGTCCACCATTCAATAGTTGGTAGCAATGAAGGCTGACTTTGAAAAGTATGGTAGGCTATTAAGTCACTTGGAGGCTACTATTTCTACATCTCACTCTTCAGTCAACACATCATCATCATCAGCATTTGCTCACTCAGGTATTTGTGCTTCTGCAAGCCATGCTTCAGTTTCAGGTAATCATAAAATCCCTTGGATCATTGATTTTGGTGCATCAAACCATATGACCAGCTTGTCTAACCTTTTCTGTTCATACCACCTTCTCTCTGGTAAAGAGAAAATATCCCTTGCTGATGGGTCCCTTGCTCCCATTTCTGGAAAAGGGGATATAAAAACCTCTGACACCTTTTATTTACCCTCTATCCTTCATGTCCCTAAACTTAATACAAATCTTTTATCTGTTAGTAGCTTGACTAAATCCATGAACTGTAGCATAACCTTCTTTCCCACTCATTGTGTTTTTCAGGACCTATAATCTCAGAGGATGATTGGGAGTGGCCATGAGGCGAACGGGACATACTTGCTAAACACACCTGATAGTGCTCTTGGACCACCTCATGAAGTTGCCTTGGAGTCAGTCTTGTTAGAGTCTGTTGACAAAATCATGTTATGTCACTTTCGGTTTGGTCATTTGTCTTTTTTTGCTTTGAGTCATTTATTTCTAAATATGTTTAAGGGAGTGTCTTTATCAAGCCTTCATTGTGAGTCGTGTGAACTGGCAAAGCATTATAGACAATCTTATTCAGTAAGCAATAAAAGATCTATTTCTCCTTTTCATATTGTTCACTCTGATGTGTGGGGGCCATATCATTTGCCTACTATGGGGGGTTACAGGTACTTTATCATTT